TATAAGGAGAGAGAGAGAGAGAGAGAGAGAGAGATCATCGTCTGAGTGAACCCAAGAGAGTATATATCAAAAACTATCAAAAAGTTTTTGTCTGTCTCTCACATAGAAGTCATTATTCGCTTTTCATATATACTTTTCGATCCATAGAGAAGTCATTTCCGACAAAAAACTAAAATATTTTTACGGCAAAAATATATTTACGGGCAATAAAACAACAATGTTGAGTTTTTGTACCCACAGTTTGAAGCACCATAAATACACATCGATCTACAAATAACACATCATTACAAATCACATTATCGTTATTATAATATGATTAGTATTGTTGTTAAATACATAGAAAAACGCCCGCATAATAGGCCACTACCCGTGCCCTCAAATTTATTTAAAATTATGTATTACTTTAATAACTTATATTTAATATGTTTTAAATGTAAAAATGGTTTTATTTATAGCGATGAATATCATATTTCATATTATAATTTTTATTACCCCTATTATAATGCAATTCATTGAATACCTATTGAATATTCTGCGAAATTATTGACAAAAATGCTTTTTAATAACTAAATGCAATGGAAATAAATGCATAAAAAAGTGTTTTCACAATTGAAATGTCGGTAAAAATTATCATTAATGTTAAACATATCAATACAATGCGGGCTATTATGCGTTCACTGGACAGTAAACCCGTATTTATGAAAATCTTTGAGCACGACATTGAACACGACAGTGACGTATCCGTTGGACGAGACTCGGATTACTTCGCGGCCCTCGGATTGGGCGACCACTTTCGGGTCGATGAACTCGGGCTTACGGCCGCTGAACCAACTCGTCCACCGGTGGACCAACGATGACGATTGGGGCGCAAACATTGGCACCCGTTTGCGGTGAGTGCCCGGCACTGGGGGTATGTGTACTGAGCCGTAGCCGCGCACCACATCGTTGCCGAAAAAGTCAAACCCATAGACACTCACTGAGAATAACACAGAATTTTTTTAATTAAAATTAATTTAAAGCACTTTTAATTTGAAAAGTCGAGAGAGAGAGAGAGAGAGAGAGAGAGAGAGAGAGAGCTAGTGATTGAGTTAACATACAAACCAATTGAGGCCAACCAAACGGATTGCTTGACTTGAAAGCGATGTCGAGCGGGAAGTTCCAGACGAAGAGTTGATTGTCGTCACTAATTCTGGTGATCTGTGAGACACCGTCTTCGAGACCGGAGGCCACCGACCAATCGTTGCCATATTTATAACAATACTTGCAGTATATGTTATCAAAGCCCATGAACTGTGCGCTCTCTATCTGTCCGCTGGCGCTCACGCAGAATACGGAACCGCTGACCACCTGTTCAGACATTGTACTTCTTCACCACTTTCCACAACTACTTCCACGGATCAGATGAGCAGCACTTTATTAATAAATATAATAAATAGCTTTCATTTTCACCATAAGTAAATGTTTTTGTTATTTAAATCATGTATTTCTATGACTACCGAAGAGGAATACAATGTGTTTGCGTTTTCAAAGCCCTATTCAATGGCTATTATGTTTGAGATTCTGTCCAAAAAAGTGCACATTTTTTGAAGTTTATTATAAAAAATTGAATTTTTTATAATTTTGAAAAGCATTACAAATCAAATAACACTTTTTTGGAGTAAATAAACAATTTTTTCATCGCAAAAACTTATCGATCATTTTTCAAACCTATCTATCAATCTGTTAGACCAGAAAATATACGCTCAGATCGTTAGCCCAGACGTAAGAATCGGTCGATTGGTTACGGATTTTAAACAAGAGACAATTTGCAGACAATTTTTATATGATATGGAAATGAATTGAATTGGAAATTAAATTTATTAACTACACCATAAAACTACATGATAAACACAAACACCGCAATCACTGCCATTAGATCCCACGACTTCACATGTCGTGTCAATTATCTATGAGAGACTTTTCAATTGATTTTGAGGCTAATGTTTGGACATTTTATTTGGCAAATAAAATGTATATTTAATCTGACAATTCATAAAGCATTTGTCACTCAAGCGATTCCCGGCTTTAAACCGCTAACCCTTTGGTCTCTGAACTCCTGAACTCTCTTTCAAATCCATCGGTTTATCGTCCGCTTTGTCTGATCCACAATAAAAACAAGTTTATTATAACATTATTCTTCATTTCTCTCTCTCTCTCCTACAACTTTTTTAAAGAGAGAAATTATTAGTGAGTTTGTCCTTCGAGTAGACAATAGCATAGGATATACGAGAGAGAGAGAGAGAGAGAGAGAGCATGATCA